ACCTACCTGGACAGCCCCTTCCAATATTTTTCCATGAAAAAATTATTGCTGATGTCTTCACGATGCATTTGGGGCAACACCTGTGAGAGGAAGCTCTGAGCATGGTGAAATTCCAGCTCTTCCTGGGGTTCAGCTTTGGATTAGATTTTTCCAGAGTTTTGTCTTTGAAACTGCTCTCTACATTGTGCTGGCACAGAGCTTTAAATGGATTGTCTTTGGGCTGTCCTCTTTTCCAGGAACACAGCAGTTCCTGGGTGACAGGAAGAACCAAACATTGTCCCTGCTGCAGGAAGCTCTAGCTTGGCTTTTCAATTTCTGACACCAAAGGTGATACACCCATTCTTTCATCAGGCAGCTGCCAGTGCCTGTGCAGTTTCCTCTTCAGAAATTCACACTGACTGCCTGATTTTTATTGCTACTTTAACTATCTCACTTATTTCTAAATAAACCCATAGGTATTTGGGATTTTTTTAGAAGGAGACAGTATAAACTATGTCAGTGCTTGGTACATGATTAGCCATGTTTTCCAGATTGCTTTATTTCTGAGTCACTTGTGTGATCAATTACTGACTTGGATACACATTATTTGAAACTCTGTGTAGGGTTATGGTCTGAGCCCGTGGGAAATCCTAAAGCATTCTAAGGACACAAGCGTCTGAGCCCTGAGGGAATCAGAGACTTCCATAACATTACCTGACTTCTCCTTAGTTTAACTTCTATTTAAAATGGACTAAAATTGCTTCTCAGAGGGGATATAACAAAATTCCACCTAGGATCAGGAACCAGCCAAAGCCCTGTGCAGAGTCACAGGGGCTGCACTCACCACCGGGGAAAGTGTTGGAACAAGGCAAGGGGAACCCACACCTCAAACTGAAAAATAGGAGGTCAGGGGCACTGAAGGCTGCTCAGCCTCAAACTCTGGGATTCAGCCATCTCCTTTTTCTGTTTACAGATGGCTCTGAGAGGTTCCTCTGCGAGTCTGTGTTCAGCTTTCAGGTTGCATCGACGTTAAAGCAAGTGAAGCACGGTAAGCGCTGAGCACCGGCCGCGTGTGGCTCGGGGAGGGCGGTGGGAGCAAAGCCTGAGCTGCTCTCGGGTGCCAGCCACAAGAAAGCAGAGTGAATGCTAAGTCAGGCCACCACTGAGTCCTTTTGCAAGCCCTATGCAAAGCACTGGGAGCCCACAGAGGCTGGGTGGGAACGGGCTGTGCCTCCCGAAGCTTGTTTTTCCATGGCTGTGTGGCAGCGCAAGGTGAGGCCGGAGGAGGAGGTTCTGGGCAGGAAACGCCCACACTCTGATCTCGGCCCAGCGCTGACTGTCTCTCTGGCCTGGGGCAGAGAGACGCTTCATTCCACCTTTGTTTCTCTGCTGAGCCCTTGTGGCCCTGGCAGGGTCAAGTGAGGTTTCCCGAGGCACTCGGGAGGGAGGTGGCCACGCGTGGCGTGGCGTGGCGTGGCGTGACAGGGCTGAGTCCACTCCCTGCCTCCCCAGGGAACAGCCTGACATCCTGTTTGAACCTCTGCTTCCCTGCCAGGCCCTTTGCCCTCACCCAGGTGCCTGTGAACCAGCAATGGGCTTGGCTGCGTCACAGCTTTGGTTCTCACAGAGCCCAGCAGCAGATCCTGTCTGCTGCTTGAGGGTCACATCCTTTCTGGTCCCCGCCTCTTGTCAGCCAGAATGGTACTTCCACCTGTTGTCTCTGAGCGGAGAGGTTTCCTGTCCTACTCCGGTTGTTGGGGCGTGCAGCAGCTTGCAAGGCCCTGATCCTGTATTTCTGCACCAGAAAGCAAAGCTGAGCTCCAGAGCCATTGTTTCCACAGCTCTGCTGTGGCTGTAGCTACCAAGGGCTGCTACACAGCCTGGCACCCCGATAAACACCAGCCTTTGGAACTGTGGAGCACCTCCCTGTTTTCTCCCTGTAAGAATGGTGAAGGGCTTAAAAAAAAAAAAGATTGAGGTCATCAATTTTTGGCTTGTTTGTTTGACAGTTCCCAAAAGGGTGCAGGAGGTGGAGTGAGAACAGTCCCTCTTAAAAGCACCCACTGCTGCAGTCAGCATAAATCACACACAGTTTATGTTGCACCTCTTGCTAGCCCTGGGCCGTCTCTCCAGGAGGCTGCAGTGAGCTTACAGCACTGTTAAGACTTCCAGCAGAGCTGGGAGAAGGGATATTCCCATCTCTGCACCACTGCAGCACATTTAACTGCAAATGTGTGCCCAACACACGACTGGTTATAAATAAACCTGAGAGGAAGATGCTGTCTGGGGACCTTCCTCACATTAGCAGGCTCTGGTTGCAGAGCCTCTCTGCCACACTCATCCAGGTCCTCCTCCAAGGACCTTTGTCAAAGTCACAGTTCCTCCTGCTGCACCCAGCTCTACCGTGGGCTGACCAAGCCCTCTCTGAACGTCTCTGTTCTTCTGCACTATAAATATTTATGCTTTATGAAATGAGCTTCATCCTGTTTTCACCCCCATACACTAATGGGCCTGATGTTCCCCTGTTAGGACTTGAATGTACATGGCACGGGCAGGGATGGGTAAACACACACTGGAGCAGAAAAGCCTGTCCCTGCTTTCTCCTCGCTGTTTGCACAGAGTGGGTTTGGATTCAAATGGGCTCCGTGGGTTTTATTCTGCCCTGCTCCCCACTGACAGCTGGGAATTTGCATGTAATTGAAAGGTTTAATTGCACTGCCATTGCAAACCGCAGTTACCTTTGAACTCCTCACAGATCAACAAGTCGCAAGGATGGAAAAACTTGCCGGTCTGGTGGAAGAGCTGGAGGCAGATGAGTGGAGGTACAAGCCAATAGAGCAGCTCCTGGGATTCACTCCCTCCTCAGGCTGAGCGTGTCTGGATCGCTGCTGTCAGGGAGCAGAAGAAAAACATTCCCTGGCCTGGCTTCAAAACACCCCCCATTTTTCAGATGCTGACAGCTTCATCGGCCAGGATGGGGCTTTGGGTTTTTTTGAGAGTGGGGATCCCCCGTAAAGCTGCCAATAAATGGAAATGAGGGGATTCTGTAGGTCCTTACAGGCTGGCAGGGCTTGGTTTCTGTAACTTGGAAGGCAGGATTAGCTGTACAGCCCTCGGAGAATCTCGTATTGTTTACAGAGGAGGGCACACGGACAGTGTGGCTGCGGGGAGGGCGACCCCGTAACTCGGCCCAGGTTCCCGCTGGAGCGCTGGGTGAGCGAGGAAACCCTCTGGAGCAAACGCCAGAAGCACTCCTCAGCCCCAGCTGTCGTTCTGGGGGACGGACACAAACTGTCCTGGGGTCAGGTGAGGGGCCAAGCGGTGTCACCTCCTCCAGCAGTGCCTCAGCCATTGCCCAAGCTATTCCCTTTTCATCGCCCTTTCTCTGATAGCACTGGTGGGACACTGCTCTGTCTTTAATACCCTGAAACTTTGTTCTCTTTGTTCTGTGTTAGATTTCTGACAATAAAATAATTCTTTCTCTGAAACTCTTTATCTGGTCTGATGAAACAATCAGCTGTTGGGGAGTTACGGAGGTTTAGCAAAGCTCAGAGGCAGATCGACTGTCACGATGGTAGACTGAAGTTCAATGTGAGAGGAACCAAGTGGCTTGACTTAAGTCAGATTTTAATCCTGGTTTAACTCAGCCAGGGGAGAAGAGCCTGGCTTAAAACCAACCATTTAAATAATCTTGTTTTTTGGTTGTACTTCACTTCTGTTCTTGGAGGGGAACTGGATTTCCATGTTCTGGCGTAACCGTTTCAACATGTTGATTTTCCATGGATGAGAGCCTTCGCCCCATGGCTCTGTTGGCCAGCAGGGGGTAGGAGCAAGGCACCGTATGCAAGCAGTTATTTGATTTACTGCTCCAGATGCATAATTTTTCCATTTTCAACATCTTACTTACAAGATGATTGTATATTTTACTATTTCAGCCCAGCCACATGTGCATTGAAACAGATTAACTGGGATCCGTTCCCATTTTAGATCACCAGCAATTAGCTAAAACTGAGGGGGGAAGTTATACAGCCACCTTCTGTGTTTGTTGCTGTTAATAAATCAGTTCCAGTGCCAGGGTCAGCTCTGGGCAATCCAGAGCCCCACGCTGCCGGACCCGCAGGTGAAGCGCAATTCCAGCCCCGTGGAAATTCACCGCGCGGCGCAGGGGCGTTCTCACACAGGGCTGCGGCTCAGCTGAGACTGTCCCACGCTGGCTGCCCCGGCCCCGGCCCCAGCCCGGAAAACCTCCTCCCCAGCCTTGGAGGGCTGCCAGGCCCTGCTCTGCGGGGGCCTCCTGCACAGTCAGCGGCTCCGCGGCCAGGAGCACTCCAAACGTGACGGCAGGCGGGATTCAAACTCCATCCCAGATGGGAAAGAAGGGAGCGCTTCAGCCCTCTGCTTTTTTGTTTGCTTGGTGGCATCTATTTTTAATCCCGCTTACTCCGGCCACCTAAATCTACCTCGGCCAAACCTGCCAAAAATCCTCACCTCGTATCGTCATGGGGTTTGGGAATGGAGCGGCAGATTCCCCCCCAAACCCCCTCACTCACACCTGGTCCCTCCCGACTCACTGACCCAGCACAATGGGGCACAGAAAGAGCTTTTCCTTTTCACTGCTCAACTTGGGAAACTTTTCCACCCTGCCAGCCCTCCTGGGATGCCAGGGGCTCAGTGCCTGCAGCTCTGCCCAAGGGATGCAGTGCCCAAGCATTGCCCGGACTTCCCCGTCCAGATCCAAAACACGGCGGGGCTGAGATTTATCCCCCTCGCCCTCCTCCCATTCTTTGTTTTCCAGCAGTTCCTTGTGCTGGGACAGAGCAAGAGCAGGGAACGTCCCCAGCTCTGTGCTGTACATGGTGTGTTTGTATGTGTGCCCAGCACCAAAATAGACACATGTGTGAGAGCCATTGAGAGGAAGTGAAAAGTTCACCCTGTACAGTACTACAAATGCAAAAACATGTTGTTGGCCGTTCCCTCCTCCCGCTCAGTAAACACTTTATGTAAGGCAGGGAGAACTGGAGGCATCCGTATGGGCAAAAACCTTCCACGCTCCCCCTCCTCCAAACCCAGGTTTTCCCTGGCAGCTGGAAAATTCCCAAGCCAACCCAGAATTTGCTTTGCAGATCAGCGGAGCTGTGCCAGCGGTGGGTATTTCTCCTTGGGGGTGTGGAAGCACCGCGTCCCCGTCGCTCCGGGGGTCCCGGGAGCTCGGGGGCCGCTCGGAGCCTGCAGCTGGAGCGCAGGGGGGAGGGAGCCCGGCAGCTGCCAGAAAAAAAGTTGATGCGGGGAGGGGAGGGAAAATGAAAAAAAAGAGCCGAACAAAGAGCCTCGTTCAGGGCTGCTGGTTGGTTTTCCTGTGGGTGCTCGCAGCAGAACGTTATGTACCGGCACAAGCCTCGCTCACACCTCCCCTCCCCGGCTCCTCTCGCCGCTGGCCGCGGCCCCATCGCCGGCCACGGCGCCAAGGCACGCGCTCGCCTCGCTGCCCGGGCAGGCCGCCCGCCGGGGAGGGCCTCTCCCAACAGCGAGGATGCAGCAGTGTGGGGCAGCACCCCCAGAAACACCCTCTGCCATCTCTTCCCCCAGAAGCACCCGAGGGGAGATGAGTTTCACGGCCCGCACCCTGCGAACGGCACGGCGCCGACCCCAGCACTCAAGCCGGCGCTCGGCATCTCAGCTGCCAAAACCTGTCCACCGCCCTCCTGGATGCACGTTCCTCGTTCCTCCGCCCGGCTCCTGCAGCTGCTTGTCCCAGGACCGAGAGACGGGCCCGGAAGGTTTGGCTGTGGCACAGACCTGCCCGGCCAGCAGCACGCCGGGACCTGCCACCGCGTCCCACGCAGCCAAAAGCTCACCTGTCGGAGCTGGCCACGGGCTCGGAAGATGCAGGGTCACCCCTCGTGTGCCTGTCACCCCCAGCCACAACCTGGTGGGTGTGAAGGACACCCACGCCACCAGGCACAGTTAAAACCATGGCCTCAGCCCCTCTGTTACTCGGACACAGAGGATCTCACCGGTGTCTGTGCCAAAACAGTGTGTAACTTTACCTAAGAGCAACTTTTTGGGCCACAGAGCTGCTGGGGAAAAAAAAACTCATGAAGCCAAGGACTCCTCCATAGCAGTAGCCCATGGGGCAGGAATTTGCTCCCCACCATAAACGGGGCACAGTTTGCACCCGACGTGAGCCAGGGCACTCGCTGAGCCCCTCAGTACATCTCCACCCTTCCTCCTCCTCCTCTTCCTCCTCCTTCTTCTCAGCCCCTCCCCCTGCAGCCTGCAAAAGCGCTGAGCTCAGCACATCCCGGGCAGGGGCCCAGCCAAGGACCCTCCCCAGTGCCAGCCGCTCCCCCTCCCCGGCTCCTGCTTAACCCTTTGCAAAGCCGGGCTGGAAATCAGAAGGATCAAGTCAATCTCATCACAGACGGCGACAGGCACAGCTGGCTGGGAACAGGCTGTCCAGAAAGCCTCAGTCTCTGTCTGCTCTCCCAGAAAGGACAGCAGGTCAGGGGGAAAGACACGCTGCTCATCCACAGAAACCACGCTGGGTTTACTGCCAGCAGCAGGACCAGGGGAGGGGAAGTGCAGGGATTACCAACACTGTAGCTAAAACTTTACTTTCCAGCCCAAAACCATTCCTGGAGGCCCTGCTGCAGAGGAGTGGCCTGGATCTCAGCCTCTTTTGGGAAGCAGAAAGGGCTGCCAGCCCCACATTGCCTCCCCTCCCAGCTGGATTATTTTATTGTGTGGATCAAAAACTACATTTCCCCATTAAAACTTGCCATCACACCAGAGCTGCTTGCTCCGCTGCCTACCAGGAGATGTTATGGCAAAGAAAGAAAAATATTTATGCTTGGCTCCAGAATTCCAGCTTATTTTTAGCAAGGCGCCTTCCCTGTGGTCCTTTACCTCTTTTTTGTTTATTTGCTGCCTTCCCCCTGTTTTGACACCCCCAAAAGCAGCAGATTCTCATCTATTTTCAGCTTCACCCAGCCGACGTTTGTACCAATGACTTGGTGGCTGCGGGGAGAAATAACCCACCAGGTACATTTTGTGAAAAACAGGATCCCAAGCACCATCCAGCTGAGTGTGCAAATATTGGGGTATATTTTTAACAGCTGGGGCTGGGGGATTGTTCATTTTTCATCCCAAAAAGCCGAGGAGTGGCTCTGCAAGCCGCAGGCGCAAGCCAGGACTTGTTCCCAACTCCCCACACGTCTCCTCTGCTCCCTGGGATGCTTCCCCAGCACGGACTCCCACTCCCAAAATGCGGATGGGTCCGAGCTCTGACCCCTAAAAAGCAGCCAGAGCTGCTGGTGGGGTGCGCAGACCCTCTGCCCCTCTTTGGCTGGGAGGTCGCAGGCGGCGGGTGCGGGACCCTCGCTCCTGCCTGCCCTGCGCTCTGCGCCGTGTTTTTATCGCCGGGCTCTTATCAATCTCGGCTCGGGAAGGACAGGAGCCAAGATAGATCCCGGGCTGGCTTCAGGGTGTGCTCAGCCCCTCCGATAAAGCGGCAGGCAGCGCAGCGGGAGGATAAACAAAGCCCTTTATCTGCAGTTGGGCTCCTTGCGCTCCTCAGGCTCTGCCTTTGGGAAGGTCACGTCCGCGGGGACCGGCGGGGGACGCGCTGCCAGGGCCGGGGGGCTCGCCCGTGTCCCGTCCCGCTTTTAGGGAACACCAGGGGAAGCAGAGGGATGTAACCCCCAGCCTGGCACTGAGCAAAACCCCATCCCAGCCTGTCCGTGCCCTGCCCCGCACCCCTTGGTCATCCACGACTTTCACTCCACCATCCCTTCCCGGTGAAGGAACCGGGACAAGGCCGGCGAACGGGACACCGGCATCGCGGAGAGTGGGCTCCCGCTTTGGTTCGTCCCTGGAGCGGGGCAGCAGGAGCCGGCAGTGCCGGTGCCAGCACGCAAACAGCCCCCGGATCAAGCTCTAATCCTCAGGGAACCCTCACTGGTTTCCCGGCGCAGGGAGGGTGCGGGGACACGGCGGGTGTCCCCTTCCCCACCGGACCGTGACGCGTGTGCCCGAGCGGTGCGCTGGTCCCGGGGGTACGGGGGTGATCCCGGGTGCTGGGGGGGGTGTCCGGGGGTGCTGTCGGGGCCCGGGGGGTGCGGGGCTCCCCGGAGCCCGGCCCGGCCCTGACGCAACCCCGGGTCCCGTTTGCAGCGCCCGGGGCCGCGGCCTGAGCGGGAGGGGGCGCGGCCCGGGGAGGGGGCGTGGCCTCACCGCTGTCACCGGGCAGGAGAGACGCCGCGGACGTGCCCCGCGCTCCCATTGGCGGACGCGGGGAGAGGGGCGTGGCCCGCCGTGCCGTGCCTATATAAGGGTGGGGCGCGGGTGGTGCGGGCAGAGCAGCGGCGGAGCCGGGGCCGTGCGTGTTCTCCCGTATCCAGATCCATGCCCGGGCTGTGGGAGCGGCTGGCGGGCGGCGAGCGGGGCCGCCTGGAGACCTCCGACTGCGAGTCTCTGGGCAGCGCCTCCGGCTCGGAAGGAGGTGAGTGCGAGTCCCCTCAAGGGCTGGAAGATGGATGAGGGGTCCCCTGGGCGGGAGGAGGTGGCGGTGGTGCTGCGCCAAGCCCCTGTTAACATCCCCAAAACCCGGGATCGGTATCTCCCGCACCCATGGGACCCCCGGCGCTGACCTGCCTCTGTCTCCTCCGCAGATGCCGAGTACGCCGAGGGGGTCTCCCTGCCGGACATGGACCTGGAGCTCCTGCACGACCCCGAGGACGAGCTGCTGTGCGCCAACCTGCTGGACGTGGTGCAGGCCGCGCTGGGCCGGGCCCCGCTGGGCGCCAAGCGCTGCTCCCGGCTCCTGATGCCGGCCCAGCTGCAGGAGCAGGTGCGGACGGAGCTGCTGCGCCTGGCGTGCAGCGAACCCTGCGGGCTGCGCGGGGCTCTCCTGGACCTGTGCGTGGAGCACGGCAAGGCCTGCCACGACGTGGGGCACATCGCCGCCGACCCCGGCGTGGTGCCCACCTTCCAGCTCACCCTGGTGCTCCGGCTGGACTCCCGCCTCTGGCCCAAGATCCAGGGACTCTTCGCCTCGGGGCCGGCCTTCGCGCCGCTGAAGCTGAGCACGGGCTTCAGGGTGATGAAGAAGAAGCTGTACAGCTCCGAGCAGCTGCTCATCGAGGAGTGCTGATGGGCCGGGCCGGAGGAGCCACTTCCCAAGTGCTTTGGAAGAGCCGGGCAGAGCGTGGCGGCCCCTGGCAGCCGCTGTAGTTTAGGTTAGGCTGGAGTAGGGCTGTAGGTGGAAGTAGTTCGGGCAGGCCGAGGTCCCCGCGGGGACCTGCCCGTGCCGGGATGTCCCTGGCGTGGAGCAGCCGGGAGCCGGGAGCGGAGGTCGCTTCACGCCGTCGATGATTGCGGGATGATCCCGGCGACCGCGCTCCCGGAGGCGGCAGCGGGGCTGCTGGAGGGGTGCTGGTCTCCTGATGGCAGATCAATCATGGGTTTTTTTTTTTTTTTTGTAAACCAGGATTGTAATCAATGGGGTCTCAGTGGGAGGGGGCGTCTGGATGAAAGGCAAAGCCCAGCGCCGGCTGCCGGGGTCTGGAATTGTGTCCTTGATCACGAGAGTGGTGGGAGAGGGGCGTCGGAGGGGCCGGAGGGCAGGACCCCTGGCCCTGCCACGCTGGGGGCACTTCGTTGGTTACAGTTTTACACTCACTTGATGTTCAAGTGCGAGAATTCCTATGCAATCGTGTCGGGTGGGTTTTTTTTACTTTTCTAATAAAACTTTGTCTTGATTGATGATAACCCGCCGTCTCCCTGTTGTCACCTCTGCTCGGGGGAGGGGGATGATGCAACCACTGCTTTGAGAATTCCCTGCTGGGCACCCTCGGGAAGCCTTTCCCTGGCAGGGCAGCCCCGGCGGTGGGAGCTGGATGTTTTTTGGGAATGGGGGGGAATCCCATTGCGCCCACTCCTAATGGGAGCCACGGGGCTGTGACTCAGGGGGGCTGAGTCAGGATCCCCCGAGCCAGCCCCGGGCTCGCTCATGGCCAGCGAGGAGCCCCCAACACCCAGCCAGGGTGGGGAATTTGGGCAGAAACCCAGGAGAACGGGCTCGAAGTGGGACCGAGCAGGAGGAGGGTCACAGCTGCTGGGGGGGGAAGCACACCCCAGCCCCAAACACACTCTGCGACGCTGAGGCCAATTACCCAAACCTGTAATTAGAAGCCTGGGGGAAGAGGCTTTCACTCAAGGATAATTGAGCTGCTTGGCAAACGAGGAGCCCGTGGAAGGTGTGGGGGGATAAAACCAGCCTGAAAAACCATTTCCATTCACATGCGAGCTTGCTCTGGCTCGGCCTTGGGTTGTTTGATTTCTTTATTATTATTATAATTTTTTAATACCCCTGTGGACAGACAAACAGTGACTTTTTGATGAGAATTTTCACCACAAAAAACCTTGCTTTCTGACACAAATGACCCATAACTGGAGTGTTGGGAGCAGAGATTGCTCCCTGGTGTAAATACCAGCTTGGAGCAGTCAGGGCAACAAGCAGTGCTGGAGATTCACCTTTACACACACACACACATTGTGCACAGAGGAGGGATTTCCCCTCAAATTTTGGGGTCTGGAGCGTTTCTCAAAGGATCACGTGCTACAGCACCCCCCTTTCACATGAGGGGCATCCCCTGTGGGGTCATCCAGCACAAACCCATCCCTGGAAGGACTGAGAGGGGTGGAAAGGGAGCTCCAAAACCCGAGTTCCTTGGCCAGGGTGGCAGCGACGCGTTGATCCCAGGGCGCAGCAGGAGATTTACGGCAGCAGCTCAGCTGGGGCTGTGCCCTCAGCCCTGCTGAGGCATCCTCAGTCTGGGAGTGGTATTTATAGCTCCAGAAAGACGTGGATTTTTATATACTGAGCTCCTAAGGGGGTGGCCCTGTCTGTGCTGCCAGCCTGACCCCTGCTCATCCCCCACCAGCCACTCTCAGGGAAGGCGATTGGCTCCGTATCCCATTTTTTAAAAAATTAATCACGCCAATAAAAACCCCACCAGAACCTTCCCCATGCCCCTGGAACGCCCCAGTCACAGCCCCAGC